GTAGTATTATACTCTATAGCTTATATAATCTATAGTAAGAGTAAGGTTAAGTATAGATCTTTCTTTATTCTATTTATATTTTCTCTATATAATTTATCTAATTAGTATAAGAAGGTATAGAAGGTTATAGTATCTTATATATAGTTCTCTTACTCTACGTTCTTCTCTTATAACTATTAGATCTCTTTACTATCTATAGTAGAGATTAAAGTTATTTAGAAGGATATATTATTCTAGTACTATAATATCTTCTAGTATAGTATCTAGTATAAGTAATTCTCTCTAGTTATAGATATTATAGATATAGAGAGATTCTATATTTATCTAGAGGTATAATATTATTTAGAGGTTATCTTATTTTATATAGAACTACTCTAAGAGCGGGATTAATTTATATATATAGAATAGAACTCTTCTATCTAGGTCTAGAGGGTAGATAGTATAGTATTCTAGATATATTATTAGTTTATTAGTTTAGTAGTATTTATATAGCTTCTAGATAGCTATTATTATAGTATCTATCTCTTCTAAGAGTATTACCTAGTTTTCTTATTTATATTATATATTTATCTATATAATAATAAATATATTATAGCTCCTTATTAGATACTAGAAAATACTAAAGTCTATATACTAGTAGTAATAAGGCGTGATTATCTCTATATAGTAGCTACTTTAAGAATATCTCTAGATTAGCCTATCTTCCTCTATATAGTATACTATTATATATTATCTTAGCTTTCTTATAGATTTATAGATAAGATTAGAGTAGATAGTAGAGGTCTTATTTATAGTCTAGTATATCTATATTACTTCTCTTACCTTTATAGTATTAATATATTTAGTAACTTATTTATATTTTATATATATTACTAACTATAATAGATAGTTTCTATTATAGTTAGAGTACTTAGAAGTATCTTTATTATATATATAGTTACTCTATACTTTATATAGGTATTTCTAGATACTATAGTTCTATTAGTACTATCTATAAATAGTCTTCTAAGAGTATCTCTATCTAGTATATCTATATCTCTAATAGTTAAAGTATTAGATTATTATCTATACTCTATTCTATAGTTCTACTATAAGTAGCTCTTTCTTAGCTAAGAAGTCTTCTTATAAAATCTAATAGATAAGAATAGAGTCTTAGAGCTCTACTATTATAGTAGAGTACTTTTTTAATTTTACTTTAATTCTCTATATATTCTTCTACTATACTTTTATAATCTTAATTCTAGGGTACTTCTAGTTATTAGATTACTCTATTTCCTTAATAATATTAATACTAATAATATATCTCTAGATAGAGACTATATATAACTATATTAGATATATATTAGTATAGATAGATATACTAAAAAAGATATTATTAGTTATATTTAGATTATAAAAGATAGTCTATTAGACTATATTAGTAATAGTAATTAATACTATATCTTCTAGAGTAAGTTTAGCTATATTTATATATAACTATATTTCTTTCTATTTATTAATCTTATTAATTATATTCCTTAGAGATATCTTTTAGATCTATATAAGAACTTTATTATTCTAGATAATAATCTATATACTATATATTTCTTCTATAGATATTCTTAGTATTTAAGCTATTCTAGTTATACTATCTAATAGTATTATAACTTATATCTAAGTAGTTAGATATTTCTTTTAGATAAGATCTTTCTAGATTCTTAGTAGACTAGTCTTAATCTAGTCTAGTCTAGACTTTAGACTTACTTCTAATATCTATTTTACTTCTATAGTAAGCTCTTTAATATTCTAGACTAGACTTTAGAAGATACTAAGAAGAGTAGTCTCTTCTTTCTTAATCTCTCTCTCTATATATACTATCTAATAGTTAATCTTATCTAGAAGAGTATTACTAGCTAGGGTTCTCTCTTTCTCTTTTATCTATAATATTTTATACTCTTAGTTATTTATTACTTTTTAAATAGAGGTTTAATTATTCTAGATTATTCTACTATATAGCTCTTTCTACTATATTAGTATTAGAGATATATCTAGTAGAAGCTAGGGTATATTAGTATATAAGACCTCTATAGTTATTAGTTAAGGGCTATTCTTAACTAATAAAAAGAGAGTTAATATATTAGTATTTAGTAGTAGTAGTCTATACTTATATTTTTAAAGAGTTTTTAAGTATATATATATAGTATCTCTATATATTAATATTATTATATTCTATATACTATATATATACGTGTATTAGAGATTATTATACTTAGTATACTCTATTAATTAATATATATAGATTACTATATTACTCTAAATTAACTAGTTTAGTCTCTTAGAGTATAAAGAAGTTTTTCCTTTAATCTCTAATAGAGATATAATTTTAACTTAATTAATCTTTATAATTCTTTTAGATATTAAGAAGGGGTTAGTATATAGATAACTTTTAATCTAATATTCTAATACTTAATAATAGAAGTAGAGTTCTTCTTTTTAATATCTATCTCTTTCTACTTAGTTAATCTACTTTATCTTTAGTATCTTCTCTATCTTATAGTAGAATCTAGATTCTTTCTTCTAGTCTCTACTTATATATATAGAATCTATAATAATATCTCTATTCTTATTCTTTCTAGTTATAGTATAATACTTATATAATTCTATAGCTACTATACTTCTTATTATAGTAACTATATTCTTTTTCTATTTCTTATTAGCTATCTTATACTACTTAGTATCTTCTAAGTTTATTATAATTTTCTTAATCTCTTCTATAAAGCTATAGTAGTCTATAATTTTTAGTAAAGAGACTATATATATATATTAGTAGAGTTTAAGAAGATATTTTAGAGATAACTAATTTTTATACTATCTTTCTAGTTATCTCTATTAGTACTTAGAAGAAGTCTATTAAATTTAAGTTAGTATTTATACTAAGATTAGCTATTAATCTATTTAAGTAATAAAAGCTTTTCTAAGGCCTTAGTCTTTTTTTTATTATCTATAAATATATATTTAAGTTATAAAAAGAAGACTTTAGAGTTCTTATCTTTTATAGAGCTCTTTTTTTTCTAGAAGTATTATATTTAGTTTCTTTTATATGTAAACTTAACCTCTACTATATCTAATAAGTTTATATAAGGTATTTCCTTATTAGGAATAGCTTAATATTAGTAATCGATATTACTAATATTATCTACTTATATATATAAATACTCTATACTCTTATAGAAGTTTCTAGAACCCTCTAGAAACTTCTAGAGGTCTTTAGAAACACGAACTTCTATAGAGTTCTATTAGGTTCTACTATAGAGTCTATAAGTTCTATAGAGTTCTACTCTACTCTATTCTATTCTAAGGAAACTACTAGAGCTATAGAACATATACGTACGTCTAGAGGTCTAGAAGATTCCTATTATTAATTAAGAGAAGGATCTAGAATATATAAGAAGGAATATATAAGGAACGGTCTCTCTATGTATTTAGTTCTCTCTCTATCTAGTCTTTACTTTAAGAATTATACTATATTCTTATTATCTTTAAGCTATACTCCGCCGATCCGTTTATTATATAATAGTCTATTATAGCTAGATCCTATTATATAACTCTATTTAGATATATATTCCTTATATAAGGAATATTATATATCTATTTATACCTGCCCTTTTTACATTATATACTAGTAGAGTATTATAGATAATATTCTAATAGTATTCTAGAGATAGCTTTAGCTTAAATATAGATTATATCTTATAAAAACTATATAACTATAATAGATAGTCTTAGAAGATAGCTATTTTACTATTTTAGAAGAATAGCTTCTAGTTCTTAAATTCTAATAGTTTCTAGTTAGTCTATAAAGATAAGACTATTTTTTAAGTAAAGACTTTAGTAGTCTATTTATAGTAGAGTTTAATTAATTCTAGAAGATTTAGTTTCTTATAATAAGAATCTCTTATTTAAAGACTTATAAGTATTATAGTAGATTAAAGATAGTTTTCTTAGTACTTTATAACTCTATATTTAAATCTAGGTCTTAGTCTAATTTACCTCTAATATTACTCTATATATTATCTCTAAAGTCTATAGTAAAGTACTTAGAGAGTAAAATAGAATTAAACTTAATATTATAGAAATATAATTTATATATAGATATAAAAGTATTTATAGAATATAATAAGTTTAATAAGAGAGAAAGCTAGAGTCTACTTAGCTTTCTTAAGATATAGAATAGAGTATACTATTAAAAAAGAGACTTACTTAGACTTACTAAATAGAAAGAAAGTAATATAGATATAGTATACTAGTATTAAGTATATCTAGAATTTACTCTTAATAAGTAATTAGCTAGAGAGTAGTAAGATCTACTTAGAAATATATTAATATTCTTAGAATTACTTAAATTATAGCTAAAAATATAGTCTATATTAGAGATAATCTAATTATTTTAGTCTATATAGATAATATATTAGTTTTTATATCTAATACTAAAGATATAGATAAATCTCTATTTAGAGATAACTAAGTAGTCTAAATTAGATATATCTAATCTAGAGTAAGCTAAATATTATCTAGATATAGAAATTAAGAGAGATAGAACTAAGAGTTCTATTATATTATTTTAATATTCTTTTATTAAGAACTTATTAATTAAGTTTAATAAAGAAAATATAAAGCTATCTAAAATTCCTTTATTATTTGATATTAAATTAGATAAAAACCTATTATAGACTAAATTAAAAGATATTAGATAATTCTAAAGGGAAATTAGTTCTCTTATTAATTTAACTAGTCTAACTAGATATAATCTAAAATATATAGTAGGCTATCTAGCTAGATTTATATCTAATCTAAGTCTAGAATACTTTAAAGCCTTAAATAAGCTATAGTAATATATATTATTACTAACTACCAAGTCCTCTTATATAATTATAGATAAACCGATGAGCCACTTTCAAAAAATTCTATGCCATAGCCAAAAAACACACTCCCCGAGCCGTCCTCCCTCCTTATATATAATCATGTCTAGCTTAAAAGGACCTTCACGGACCCCCAAATCACAACTTTCGGCCAGTATGGAACACATTCGATATGCTGTTACCGCTGATCCCCTACCTCACCAACCCTTCACCTCCAGCTCCAGCAAGCCAGACCCGAATCAAAAACGAACTGACCCCTTCCAATTCGGCACCCGCGTGCTTCTTCCCAGTGACGACCCTTTTGCGTATAATGCCTGGGACCACGCCGTACCAGACGCTGAATACGCCTTGTTCGCCTTGGCACAATATGAGTTCCAGCGCTCTGCACCGGTCACGCCGTTTGACAAAATGCGATTCAACGCACAGCCCGAAAGATTCTGGAACGCATTCTACGGGAATAACACGAGTAATTTCTTCAAGGATCGCAAGTGGCTAGCGCAAGAGTTCCCAGTGCTAAATGCGATTACAAGCGAGGGTGCAGAATCTGCAGCACTGTTGGAGGTTGGTGCCGGGGTTGGAAATACAGCGTTTCCAGTGCTTGCTCTGAATAGGAATCCCAGGTTGAGGATTCATGCAGTAGATTTCAGCGTCAAGGCGGTTGAGCTGATGCGGGCGAATGAGAACTACGTCGAGCCGATGATTCGCGCCGATGTGTGGGATGCGACGAGTGATATGCTGCCGCCAGGAGTGTGCGAAGGGAGTATAGATGTGGTCATTATGGTTTTCGTATTCAGTGCGCTGGCACCAAAGCAGTGGGAGGCGTGTGTGAGGAACATCTGGAGAGTCCTGAAGCCGGGTGGCTGTGTGCTGTTTCGCGATTATGGTCGAGGTGATTTAGCGCAAGTGCGATTCAAGAAGGGGAGATATCTGGAGGAGAACTTTTACATCAGGGGGGATGGAACGAGGGTTTATTTTTTTGAGAGGGAAGAATTACGGAACATATGGTTGGGAAGGATGTTCAAGAATGGCAATGATGAGAAAGAAGTCCATGTAGACAATAGGGAAGAGCTCGACGAGAGGGACACTGGGATTGAGGAAAGTCTTGACACACTCAGCGTGAGTATGAGAGCAGTCATGTCCGAACCGTCGCCAGCCTTCGAAGTCGTCAAGCTGGGCGTCGATCGACGAATGCTCGTTAACCGGCAACGCAAGATAAAGATGTACCGATGCTGGATGCAAGCAGTGTTCAAGAAGCCCGGTCCGACATCCCTTCTCGATCAGTTATCTACAGACGCCATTTCACGTCAAAACATAGGCGACATTATGCCTCCAGAAGCAATGGACGAGGTAACAGTTAGAGCAATTCCCTAAAGCTGAGGAAACCGTACCTTGACGTTGTTTCTACATATTGCTTTATTGTCTACTGACTACTGTTTCACTTACACCGCAAAGCCACCGGAGTTCATCTGCCTTGGCTCACCCGCAGCCTCAAACGTTCCGTTACCTAACCTCCTCAACGCCTGGGCCGTACTACCTCCAGGCGCTACAAAAGTGATGTTATGCCCCTTCTCGCGCATATAATCCACCGTATCGTTACTGTACGTAAACTCAAAGCTCGTGGTCAAGGGAATTAGCTGGTCATGCAAGCGCGGCTCTTTTAGTGCTTGCAGCGTTGTCATGTTGCGGTCCAAGACATTCCATATGTTTTGTATGGTCGCTGTGGTGATGCGGCTACCCCCGGCGGCCCCGACGACAAGGTATAGCGTGCCATTGGGGAACTCAACAATTACGGGCGACATGGACGAGAGTGGACGTTTACCAGGTCGGACGTAGTTGGCTGGGCTGGGGATATAGCCGAAGGCGTTGGTCACGTTCGGGATGGAGAAGTCATTCATTTCGTCGTTCATGATTATACCGGACTCCGGGACTACGACTTGCGAACCAAAGAGCAAATTTATAGTCGTTGTAAGGGAAATAGCCATACCAGATGCATCTGCGACATTGATGTGTGAGGTCCCAGGGGTGTTGAGAATTTCAAGACCCTTGGGATCATATGCAGAAGCGTTCAAGGTGTGGGAGTCTGAGATGCGACCTTTCACTGCTAAGGCGAGGTCATTGGAGATCATGTCCTGGACGTACTCGTCCATATCTGCCAGGAATAGAGGGTCGCCGAGTTCGGTCCTCTGGTGTCAAGTCAGCTCGCTGAACAGCGCTACACGTGGTGTAGTCGCCAAACATACCATGCCGTACGCAAATTTCATCGCTTCATCCAACCTATGTGTCGTGATGTTGAGCCCTGCTTCGCCAACTGCTTCATACTGCTGCAAGATGTTTAACGCTGCCAACGCCACAGGCCCACCCCCTGGCGCACCAATACTCGACACTTTGTATCCTCGGTAGTCAATCTGTGTAATGTTTCGGACTGCCACAGTGTAATTCTTCAGATCATCCAATGTCATCGTACCATTGCAGCTCTGCAACGTAGTAATCATTGCCTCAGCCAGCTCTCCTTCGTAAAAGGCATTCGGGCCACCGTTTGCGATCTTCTCCAGTGTATTCGCATACCGTGCCCGTGTGATCGTCTGGTTCAATTGAAGCCTCGTCCCATTCGGCGCAAAGTCTTTCGCGAACTCTGCGTTATGCACCAGGAAATCCCCGGTGCTGCCTGAAGCTACAGCTGAGGCCATGTATGATATCAAATCCTCGTTGACACGCCACCCAAGTCGCGCGACCGCGATCGCGGGCGCCATCAACTCCGCCCAGCTAAACTTCCCACTTCCGTAGTTCTCATAGATGTGCTGAAGCCCACGAACCTCGCCTGGCACGCCGCTCGCTAGTCCGCCGTAGACACTTCCGTTCGAGTTATCCTTGTACATATCCTCGTACGCTGCAGCTGGTGCAGTTTCCCGGAAGTCGACAAACTCGAACCGCTCCTTTTCAGATGTGCACAAGCTGTCCGGCTTGCGAATCAATCCAAATCCACCACCTCCAACGCCACTGTGGTACATTCCCACAACGCCGACGCAAAAGACAGTTGCGACGAGAGCATCGGCGGCGTTGGAGCCATCCTTTAGAAAGGATGTGCCAATGCGGGCGCAGATGTCAGACTCGCAGGAGACGGCGCCAATGGTAGACTCGTGGGCCTGTCCGTGATAGTATGGCGAGTAGTCGGATCGTTGGCCATATAAGGTTGGGTTGGCGAACACAGGACTGAGGAGAAGGGCTACATATAAAGTCCGAGGGGGGGCCATAGCCGGAAATTGGAAGTGCCAGCCAAAGGAAGACTAATTAGTTTTATCGACTTTTTAGACTCCCTCGAGTACTAAGTAAGCCCTCGCTATACGTAATAAGTAATACTAGGAGCATAAGAAAGATTAAGAAAGAAAGACTTAAGAGAAATATAAATAGCTTTATCTCTATAGATCTAGTTTAAAGAAGAAGAAGAAGAAGAATAATAATAATAATAATAATAATAATAATAATAATAATAATAATAATAATAATAATAATAATAATAATAATAATAATAATAATAATAATAATAAGATAAAACGTGTTCACGGCAAAATGACCCCCCTTTTCGGCGGTCGTGACCGTCATTTTCGGCAGCATCTAGGTCGACCCCTCCCCCACCAAAACCATCGTCGCTGCCCAGCAGCCCTCCATCCGACCACCCCTCCACCCCTGCCTTCGTATCTTGCACAGGGCCAGGCACTGCTGCACATCGCCGCGACAGATGGGGAACGCGGCTGACGGTGTCGATGGCCTCGCATGGTCCAACTCCTGGATTCACACAGGTGCTAGCCGCCCTGTCGTAGACGAATGCTGTGCCTCATTCATTTCCTGCGCTGAGCGGCAAAGGTATTTAAGGCAGTCCAGCGCAGTCAGGTTCCTGCGCGGCAAGCGACACCCTGCCCTCGTCTCATCCTCCAACTCCTCTGTCTTTCTTTAAGCAGCTCGTGCAAGGTCTGTGGCAGCGTCTAACTCCCTCTCTTCCAGATCATCATGGCCCCTCGTCGGCGATTAGATAATAAGGACGCAAAGCATCGCTCGGCGGAGTACTATATTAGCCAGCGCAAGACGTTCAACAAAGCCGAAGTCAACGTGCGAAACCACAGCCCGTCGACCAGGACGCTGAAGAATCTGGTCCACAAGAAATGGGAAGAGTATGGCCTAGCTATCCCTTCGTGACGAGACTTCCGCAGCCTGTTCTCCCTCGTGGAAGCCTAGTGTAAACTGACGTCCTCAATAGGTATTTTCGCATCGTGGACGGTGATGCTGTAGAGGCGCTCAAGAACTTCGAAATGATAGATATCTACGGTTTCTTTGACTGGTGGATCGAAGAGTCATGCGGAAGTTTTGACGCTTGCTCCACGTTGCAGACCTATTGGAACGTGCTGGGTCTTGTACGCCATGAAAATTTCCATCTGATGGTGGATCCGACCACAAAGGAAGAGGCCACGAATGTAAGTGAGCGTCAATCTTGCCACGAGGTCGCTCACCCCTTCACAGGCAAGGCAATCGCTTGCGGTAAAACATCGACTCCGAAAAGAACCCAAAGAAAAGCCGATCATGCGAGCGGAGGACGAGTTTGAGTGCCTCCAGACTCTATGGAGCTCCCGAGAGATCATCTTCGATTTGGAATTGCACCGCCTCGTGCTTGCTCTCATCATCCAGCTAGCGGGCATCACGGGTAACCGGCCGAAAGCACTCCTCACCCTTCGCTACAGGCACGTCCAGGTAGCCTTGCTTCCCGACCCTAGAGGGGGCAGCCGACCACGGGTCTTGATCGAATTGAAATTTGAGCAGACCAAGGGTTACCTAGGTCAGAAGGATGCGTAAGTCCCTCCCCTTAAGTTCAAATGTGCAAAAGCTCAACCTGAATGGCCTCTAGCAATACCATTCCTGTTCCAGATATCCTTAACGAGACTTGTTTGATGCTTTGTCCGCACATCACTCTTCTCGCCCTGGCCTTCAGGCGCGGCGCATTCGCCGTGCCCGATTTGACGCCGGCGCAGTTCTACGACCTGAAAGTGCTTCCTGGACAACGACAACAGTTGATTCCATGGAAAGAGGAGGTGCAAGACGACTATCTATTCCCGAGATCAGTGAAGACGTCACTGGGGATCGAGGTTGGCCATGATCACCTTCCATACGATTCCCTGCGCCAACGATTGGCCAAGATCGGCGAGGTCACCGGAATGGCATTGCCCGTAGGAGCGTATTGCTTCCGACGAGGGAATGGAGAAGCTTTGGACAGCAGCAGTAATGTTGCACGTTCTGACCAGGACGAATCTAGAGTGGCTAATGGGACACAGGCCACATCAGCGAGGCACAGCGTAATCTATGCCTACAACACGGGCCCAACTCGGCTGTATTCCAGCGAAACTATCTATCGCGACACATCACTGCTGACACACAGGCGGCGTTCCGTGGACTCGAACCCCAGACGGATGTGATGCGTGTGGCTACCGGCATGAGCCGTACTATCGACAAACGGCGCCCTACTCGCCTCAACCCGGAGCAGCAGGAAGAGGCTCATCGTCACCCTCGGGTACAGAAATTACTTCGGGAGAAACTTGATCTGAAGGCGCAAATGAAGGACCACGGCCGAACTGTGAAGAGCTTCGAAGGTACTGCTCTGTATGATAGGTACCGGCTTGCTAAGCAAGCGTACGAGGGCGAATATATCTTCCAGCAGAGGTCGCTATTGAGACAAATGAAACAAGTCTTCAACTCTCAACAGCCCGTATTCGATATTGAGAGTCAGATACGCAAGACAGGCTCTGATAACGAGGATGGATCTAAGTCTCTTTTGTCGACGCGGCCCGAGCTGATACCTGAACGCGTTGCAGCACTTGAAGCTCTTTTGCAGCTAGTCCCATCCTCGCCGGGATCAGAACACGAAGACCGGGCTAAAGCCGTGCAGACACTTGTCGAATTAGCTCACGTACAAGACGGGCACCCCGTTGTCGTACGGCGTCAAGCGCGTCGGCTCCTCAGTCCGCTCCCTGCGCCCGAGAGACCCCTATCCTTAGACTGTAAGCCACTGCAATGCTTCCTCTGCCTTGGGAACGCAAAGAACCCTGTGGCGCAGCGATCGTGGGAGTTTCACAGCAGAGGTGACTTGAAGAAGCATCTCCTTCGTCACGCGCAAAAGCATGAGGGCAAGTGGCCTCTTACATGTCCCATAGACGGGGAACGGATCATTCACCAGCAGCATTTGTTAAGTCATGCACACGCCAAACACAAGACGCCCTTGATTATAAGGTAAACATCTCTTCGCATGGTTTCATGCTACTAAAATTCGCAAATGCTATACTGCCCACCCTCCAGGCTTTCGCCACCATCATGTCTCGCACAGTGATTCGAACGCTCCGAAGTCTCTTGCAAAAGACTTCAGTGATGTATGCTACCAGGAGGAAAGAGATCGCGAAAGCCTCGTTCCGGGAAGACAAGTGAGAAATCACCGGAAATGATACTATTGATTGCGATCGCGGGCGCAAGACGTTCAACGTACTTGTGCTGTAATACAGTAGATAATGCGCATGGTAGGTCACTGGCCATCGCATAACTTTCTAAGGTCGGTGTCACTGTAGGAGGCAGCAGAAAAATCTCAGGAGCATCTTCTACAGAGCCATCTCCACGCTGCTGTGCCAACTGTCGACTGATTTCGATCGTGTCCCACTCTCCACTCTCTTCTTCATGTTTCTCATAGTCGTCGATATACTGTGCGATCTGGTTAAGGTCAATGTACCCTTTACAGTCGAACCATTTCCGTATTATCAAGCCCCATGTCCAAGGCCAGTTATCGTTCCATCGATACGATGCAGCATCAAGTTTAAGCCGAGCCGGGAGTAACGACGAGGGATCGATGTTGTGTTCGAAACAGGTGACGTGGAAAAATTTACGCTCGCGAACTCCAAGCATAATGCGGTAGTCGTCTTTGATCTCGACGTGTGAGCTCCTAGCCTCTTTCGCAAAATTACAACAGGCAGCTGAGCACCGCGCTCTTGCCATGTATTTGGGAGGCGTCAGCTGCAAGTAAGCTTCGAGGGTTAAATCATTGTCGAACTGCTGCACCAATAGTGTTCTTTGCTCCGCAATCGTTTCCTCGTCTGTCCCTGGAGGGTTTCTTGCACCCTCAGCAATATCTCTTGCTCCATCGTGCTCGGCATTCTCTTCGGACATCATGAGGTCTGCCGTAGAATCTTCGAATGAGACCTGCCTAAATTTTTTTCTTCGCCTGTTTGGTCTGCTTCGGTGGAGGCTAGATTGTGTACATTTGGAGAGCTTGTGAGCTGATGCAGAAATGCACTGGTGTGACCGAGGTGTCTTCCGTCAAGATGGGCCGATAGCCTTATTATAGAAGTAGAGACGGATACCCTTGCATTTATATATCTGTCTCCTCAGCCAGAACATTGAGCACTTTGTTTGAGCGCGTGAAGGCACGGATTCGAGGGCATTCTGGTAAAGCGTTTCGATGGACTTCTAGAAGGACTTCGGATCCAAGCTCTCCCGCTACGCCGCACACAGACGACGCTTGGATGATAGGCCTCCATGCCTTTCCAGATTACCGGCATACGCTCTCAGTCACTTCTTTAAATCAGTGTTTCAACTGTTGAGGTATCAAGCTGCAGTCTTGTTTTAACAAGCCAGATTGGATTTGTAGCAGTCGCTGTTGGTATCCCAGCGGCAACGGCAGCGTAGGCGTGAACTATGGCCGCGTCTTCTCCGCACCCTAGCATCTGCGCTCCAAGATATTTACAGTTGCCGTAGACGTAGAATTTAATTGCAGTTGCAGGGACTACGCCTGCAAGGCTTGGCCCGAGACCTCGATAGAAGCCGCGCCAGCCTTCGGTATGGGAGATGGAGCCAATGATCTGGAAGGTGCCGCGAATGTGGTCCTTCGATGGACCAAGAAAAGTAAGCCTGGACTGGACGGGAGACGCAGGAACGAGAGAAGGGCGGTGGTAATCTGATTGGAGTCGAGTTCGCAGACCATCAAGCGGGGATGTAACAAGCGCTGTGGCTAATCCTCCATTGCTTTAAGCAACAAGTCAACTTTGTATAAGTAGATCAAGGCTGTTCGTGACTTACGCGCCAGCAAGCAGATGTACCCAAGATCGTACCGGTCTCTGCTCTATCGAGCTACTATTTTTTGTCTTTGGAAGTATTGCTGAAGACTGAGAGCTGTGACGCATCGATTCCTGTGCCATTTTCGTGGTTCATCGACGGCTATGTGCGTGCAATGGAGTGCGAGCTACGACGAAACAAGTCGCGTTGAAACAGATGTACACGCATGCGACACAGAAGAATTCATTGGAAGACCAATCAAACGAGCAGTGAGAGAAAAATTGAGAGCGTGTTGATGAATATGGAGCTTCTGTAATATCGCAGTGAAAATCTCGAGGAAACACGAATCTAAGCTGCGAGAAAGTCTTGGAGTTTCGGCAGAGCCGAGGAGTCCCCAGGGGCTGAGTCAAACAACCCGAGTCTTGCAACGTCTCCAAAGACTTTCAATTCGGACTGAGTGTAGTCTACAACAAGATAGTTCTTCCACTTCGAAATCAATTCGCGAAATCTGTAGGTTTTGCTCGTGAACGCGTTGCTCAGTATTGAGGACAGCCGTTAGCCACACAGTGCGCGACATGCTTGAACATTTCAAGTAATCGGCTCGACTATGACATGGATGTGCAGAAGTGGGCCCATTCACATGCCTACACGGTAGAAAATAAATTAGTCACACAAATGCGCCCAAATTGAATATTATCGATGCTCGCAGACTTCTACAATTCGCGCGTCGTTTTGACATTGCTGGACGGACGCTGACTAATCAAGAACGGAATGGGTCGTCCCATTTATTTAGCCTGAAACCTCTTCCAGTAGAAAAGCACAACACAGCGGGAACGCAAATTGTTGGAATTTAGTCGAAATAAAGCATCAGAATACGCGTGCCTGTGGCCGCGATAGTTGCTACAGGTCATGGCGCGTCCCCCAACGCCCATTTGCACCTGCTTAGCTGCTGTTGCGGTCACAACGCGCCTGGACAACACACCCTGCGAGCAAGTCACGATCACAACGCGTCCGTCAAAGCGAATGGCAGCCATCTAGCCAATCAAGCGAAGCGAAACATGACGACGAAGCCCAAGTACCCGATCACAATAGTCATCACCGAATATACAGCCATCGACGGGCTCCCTGCAGAGCACTGCAGAGCCCAGCCACTCGACAATACTTGCAACATCCCGCATCAACAAGCTCTCGAATTGAACAGCATCATCTCCTACTTGAATCGAACACCAGACACTCGGCATGCTACTGCAGATGCCACCCAATATTACAGTTATCAGACAGCCTCGCCCACTGTCGCCTCCCCCCCCCCCCCCCCCCCCCGAAAAAGCCGTGGAAAAGGATTGGTCACCCTCCAACACGCACCCGATAACGTCTGAGGAGATTCAAGCTGGAGCTCTCGTGCCTATTCTATCGACAGCTCGCACGAGCGGAGCGTCATATCCGTACATCAAGACCATTTATGTGCCACACAGTGCCAGTACTGACCTGGGTGGAACAAGCAGGTGCAGAAACTTCGGACGGCAATGTCGGAGTACGAAAACGACAGGTGGAGAATAATCGCGACCAAGGTTGGGAACGGTTTCTCTCTAGCCTCATGGATGGCACCTATGGCGCTCTCAACGATATCAGAGAAGACCTTCTCGGCCCTGGCTTGTTCCAATTCCGCCCAAGGATATTCATGGCCGTTGTATAGTGCCTCGAGAATTGCTGCACGAAGGCCTATATGACGCGCATGGATTGCATGCCGAGCTTGCAGTAAGTCTGGCGAGTTGTGACGCAAGAAATGATATAACGACCTGGTGAAGTCCTGGATTCCAGGTTCGGTGACGGAGTCCCACTTCCGTTTTGCCGTCTTTGGCAGATCGTAGCGCACTTCGGAGATCTTAAGCTCAAACATAAGAAAGGCGAGGAGGTATCCGTTGACAAGTGCGGTGCGGAACGTATGCATTAGAACGTGCGACAGCGGTGGATTGTGTGCGTACAATCTTGTCGAGATAATGTAGTCGATCACGGCATCGCCGAGGAACTCGAGTCTTTGGTAGGAGCTTATTCGCTCATGGTGCGGTGGTGAGTACGATGGGTGAGTCAAGGCTTCAGTAAGAAGAGATACTCGATCAAAGGTGTGGCCTAACAGTTCTTCGACCGGTTTGAAACGCGAGGGCGGAATACCAGTTGTTTCTGGGGTCGCTGAGAAGAGAATCTTGTTGGCATCATGTATCGAAAGCTATGGTTCCCGGGGAAGTAAAATCTGCATGCATGTCAATGCATCAGATATCCGACCTCTAGACAAATATGATGCGCCTATCAAGGACTCAACAACATCGGCCAAGGTTTTAGTAGAAAAATTGTCTTTCTGCTTGGCTTCTTGTTTTTCATATTGTCGAGCGTGCACATCAGATAAGTATTGCGGTCGCCACTTGACACCGGTAAATCCTGTTCGGATGATGTATTGATCGAGACCAGCATCCAGAGATGCTTTGGCAAGGTATCCATTTGAGACGGTGCGTCCTTTCTCGGCTGTGAGATAGCTCTCTGGCCAGGTAAGATTTCTTGCCATTAGGCGGATCGAAGAGGCGAACTTGAGTAAGGCATCACCGAGATATTCCATGCGCTGATAGTTTACATGCTCTCTAGCCGACGTGGCACACAAAGCTGTCAAAACGAGATGCACATCAGTGAAACCAACATGAGCAAATATGCCAGCGGAAAGATTTTGGGCCACCATGTAAACTTCTAGACGATGCAAGACGCAAGGCGCAAAGGTCACAGCAGTGACAAGATCTGCTGGCAACATTTCGATGACACTGTCCGCCAGTTCAAGTTCCAATACAGCTGTATACGCTGAATTTTGCTTTTCCCGGGCATCCACTTGGTGGAGGAAGTCTTTTCTCTTTGGAAACTTATTCACCTTCAAAACATATTCCTTGGATCCTTGTGATTGTTCATCTCCTCTTTTATATATTTTTTGGAGTACAAATCGTTCACTGGCTCCATGACGCCGCACCAATCCAAGACGACTTGAATGGCCATCCATGATTGGATGCTTCTCGAGGATCGTTGCTGGTAGAGCCCCAGATGTGGTCGCTACAAAGTCGTCGACTGCAGAAGTACTAAGCTCTACGTTGGGTAATAGAAGCACGACAAAGTCGAACTTGTTGGAAACTAAGCGGTGTGAACCCAGACTTGACGACAAGAGATGATAGGCGACTTTTTGAAGCGACTCGACCAGATCGTCTTCTATATGCATGGGTTGGTCCCTCTGGAGCTCATAGGAGACCTCGTATACCAGCGACTTGTTCCAATATAGATTGTATGGTGGAATTGTAGGTAAAGGCATGGTCGTCATCACGTCAAACTCACAATTGTGGTTAGCACTAGAGAACCGGATGCGATACGTGTAGCGCTGGTCTCCTATAGCCGTCGCGTGAAGGGTCCAAGGATCCATCTTTGGATTGACTGGTACCATGGCTGGGCGGTCACCTATCATATCGCATTTAGGTGCTTCATTAACCTCACCATGCAAAGGCAACAAATTGCTGCCAATCAATCCGGCTTCATGCAAGGCCTTGTAGGCTTGAAAAGCAGCATCCTTTCTCGCGTCTTTCTCATTTTTCCACTTCGAAATACCCTTGTGACGTCGGAGAGAGGCGTCCACAGCCAGTGGAAGGGTAACCTCTGCCGAAAAACAGCCTTCGTTATCTGTATCGAGTTTAAATTCAGGTTGGTGGTCCGTATGTGGACTTGTCCTCAGGGTGGCGCAAAAATGAAAAAGATGAGGCAATACGCCATCGGAAGTAAGTAAGGCTCTATAGACAGCTAGTAAGCAAAGCATTGCGAATGAGAACAGACCAGGGTCTGTACTACTTACTGCGTCGAGGCAACATACAAGCTGTAGTCATCAGCCTCGTCGATTAACTCTGTACTGTTCATAGGCTTGATCTGACGCGACTCATCGGCATACTCGTCTTTCAGGATCTGCTCTAGTGTGGACCATTTTGTCACCGAAGACGACTCTGATGCATTTTGAGGTATCATGATCACGAAACTCGAGGCCAATTTTCTGGCCCTGCCTCTGCGCTGCACATACATCTTCAGGTTTGTTGGCGCATCGAAACATATCACGACGTTACAATTTGGGACATCAATGCCTTCCTCAAGGACACTGGTGGTAACTATGAGGTTTTTACGACCCTCTCGAAAGTCCTTCAAGGTTTGGTCTTGACCTTTGATATCAACCAGTTCTGCAACGTCCTCGGATCGACTCGGAGATGAAGAAGTACCCACGAAAGCCCCAACCTGGAAAGACTGTTTTAGGTCGAGATCATTTCCGATCACATCTTCAAGAGCATTCACCACAGCTCGTCTTTCGGCGAAGATAAGACCCCTGAAGTCCTTGTGGTATGCTTTCTTGAGATAGCTTATCAGGGCAGTAGCCTTAGCAGATGTACCCTCAGCAGGAGACCCAGAAGATACTAGTGCTACAATTTTGCGAAGCAATGCCATCAGATGAGTCTTTTCTCGCCCGGACCAGCCGAGCATATGTGACTCCTCGTTCATTTCAACCGCGTCTTTGAGCCGGTCTACACACCGCACGATGTAACGTTCAGCTGCAATTGCGCCAAGCTGCTCACAAACGCTATAAGCCCTAGACTGAATGGACTTCAGCTGTTCCAGGCAATATGGATTCCTTCGCGAATGCCTTACTAAGTTTGCATTCGGCGGTCGGATCGTAGCGCATCCTTTCATACAAGTCCTGGATATACGGATCACTCGCGAGATCATAACCTTGGTATGCTTCCTGTAGTGCTGTCATAATGGCATTACTTCTAATATTTCGCATTGAGAGGTCGACCTGAAAGAATACTGGTTCCAAATTAGGTCGATGCACGTGCTGCAAGAATTCAGTCTGATGGATCTTAGGAATGGTGACGTGAGAATCCAAGTTCTGCTCGATTGTTCTGAGAATGTCAGAGACCGGCAGATATTATATCTAGTGTACGTACTGCAAAGCTTTTGGATCGCTGTTGATCACTGGGCTTGCGGTGAGACCGAGAATTGGCGGTACTAATGATGGGTTCTTTCGTCGCATTGTGTGATAGAAATCATTCATAATCCTGTCCATTGGATGGTTCTTAGTACAATGATGGGCTGGGTGGCGTTAGAGATACAGCATTACTATATTGATCAGACATACCCTCGTCAAAAATGAGCAAAGCCAGTCTGGTCATTGGAACAAAACCATGGGTCAGAGCTTGAGCGAGTATATCCAACGTCGAAACGACTACACTCATATTGTAAAGCACTGCATCCCACGTTCGCTGGTCGGTCCACGTGTCGACATTCTCGATGCTTGTGAGTTTTCAAATCTGGTAAGCCGGTAGTAGTGTCTGGAATACTTGATACTGTTGATTGCACAGAGCCACAGTCGGAGCTATAAACCAGACAACCTGAATGTCAATTAACCTTGAATCAAACACGTGACCAGCTCCAGGCAGTGACAGACATACTTTATACGGGTCGCAAGTCTCTAACTCTGTTCGAGCTCTACTAATGGCTATGTGGGTCTTGCCGCTACCAGTATCCATCTATAAACGAACATTAGCCACAGAAAGGCATAGAATGGGAAAGCAGTCTCAGACTTGCCGCCACGATTATGTTTTTCTCAAGGCTCTTCTCCAGCATTTCAGTTTGTTAGGACCAAAACCGAAACATTTCGTTCTCCCGAGCGATATCGATCGGTCTGAAACTTGCACAAACGAAGCGGCTCCCACGAATCTACGTATTCTTATGGTTGAGATCATACAAGTCTTATGGTACGGTTCGTCAGGTTTATAGGGTTATTTAAAGCAGGAAGAAATCGTCGAGGAAAGGGTGATGAGCAACAGGAGTCCTAGACAGCTGGGTGTAAACCGACAGACGCATTTCGCCATGAAGGCTCATCAGGGACTAAGATTTGTTGTTCTTTTGTAGATGAAAGCGTCGGTCAGTTGTACCACAGACCTCCGATTGGAATGTGCAGCCATTCCAAATCATACTACAGTCACCTAGTCACGTTCTCCCCGAGAATCGCTGTATATGCACGCATGGTTTTAAAGGAGTCCTGCTAGTGGTCTTGGTCTTGAGTTTAGGGGATCTTTTGTGCCATGTATCTTGCACTCCTCAGTCGTTGGATACTCAGAACAATTGACGCACTATTGGCCTACTACACATGCACGCACAGATGTGCCCGGCGCTACAGATCGGACCGTTCTGGTTACCAGGGAACATCATGACACCGCCACACTATCCCTAAGACAAGCGACTGAAGACGGGGGGCTGTAATTCAGGCTAGAGCCTGGTTCTGTGTGGTCGGGAATACTGGTACCGAAGACGCCAGTGGCAGGGGAAGGGTGTAACGTGGCCCTTCCGGAGACTGATGGCGAGCCTTCAGCAAGGGCGGAATGTGCGGCCTGTCCGCTCGCATATACGGCAGCCTACCTATCAGCCGTCACGATATGGTATCCACTCCTTCCTCTGGTGAGACTCGATTTTAGTGGTGCCGGTGAAGCATAGCCAAGCCAACTGACAAGGTGTAACGAGTGGGTCTCTTCTCGGACGCTCGCGTTGGAATATGCGGCGCTCGAAACCCCCTTGCTCTCAGGCATGCCTGGTCGACCCTTGCCATTTGAAAACGGACTAAGGTCCAGAGTGTCGTTTCTGCGTCCCCCAAACGGGGAAAGCAGTCTCTGCGGGTAGGCTGGGGGTGTAGTTCTCTGCTAGAGCATTCCACGGCGGTCGTGAAACGCTTTCCAGCTGGTGAACGGAGTCGACCCCCTCGAGGTTGGCACCAGGCTTGGCCGCAAAGCCCCCCAGCATCGTAAAACTACTCATTCTCCCTTCGTTGCGAAGCTCCTCACAGCACGTGAAATTGTCCTACATTATTACCGTCATGTCTCCATCTAATCATGAGAAGCAACCAAAACCACAAATCGACAGTACGGTCTCAGGGGCGTCAGGCCGTCTGATGGCAAAGGGGACTTGGACCTACAAGCAAACTGATGTCCGTCAGCAAGCAGGTACATGGTGATGTCTGTCCACACATCTACGGTGATGACGTTGTATTGTTTCTCATGCTCAAATACCATCGAATTTAACCATGGCCCGCATCTCCAAACGAATGCGAGTGTTCAGCTATGCCCGTCAAATTTTCAATTATGGTCATGGTACGTACGCCTTTGGAGAAAGAACCGTAAAGTGCTGCCCTCACTATTCATGATTAAAAGTACCAAACAGATAAGCAATATTCTTGACGCTTCACAGGTTCGCGACCGTCCTGACATCTACCAGATATTCCATCATAAAGAGGCTTCATACATTGTTCTGGAGGACATGGCAAGCCACAACGGCCTTGCAAATCCCTCAGCTAAGTACATCTAACTGTTTCTTTCCCAATGCAATCATTCACCAGAACGTGTCTGCCGTAATGGGACTCGCCGCTTGCCTTCTCTCTCGGACACATATACTCACTCAGTAACCACAAGCATTGAGGGGAGCCAGTACCATCAGTGATTCATCCTCATAACACACCAGAATCTAAATTTATAGAATAGATTCTCTAGCGAGTTCATTTCCGAAAGCCTGCTAAATACATGCAGTAAATCGATTGCGCGTTCCGTCTGACCTACACGTTATGATGGGGTTGAAAGATAGTTGCAGCACATCAAGCACAATTACAAGAGGGCACAATGATAGATACTGTGGGTCTTCCTCCACCACCCCTGACAGGGTGACGCAGTATACGGGCGGCTGGTGTGCGACAAAGCGGCACTGGCACTACTGATCGTCGTATGCGGGATCAAAAGTAAGTCCTCCCGCTTGAGATTGCTTCGATGTATGGGTGCATGGATTGCTGCCAAGAGCAGCTTTATCCTGCCAAATCACACCATGCAGGATATCCCTGCACAACGAATTGGAATCAACAGGAGGATCGCTTCGAAATTGAGAATCTCGAGGAGGTTCACATTCTGGAGCAGAAGGTTTAGACCTAATATTGTGACCATAATGATCAATACAGCACTTCGCCAACCTCTCATGATGATGGCGGTTGGGGATAAAGTTTGGTTGTCGTGGGACTAGAAGACTGGAGATACACAGCAGTGGGTAAGGACGGGGGGAGGGGGGACTACGATTGTGGACTCGGATTCTCCAGTCCCTCATGCACTCAAGTTCAAGTTCGATGGCGAAAGAAGGACATGTGCACGACGATAGTAGGCAAGTCTCTGCACCGTGAAGGATCAACCTGTCTTGGGGGCAACACGTCCCTGCTGTAGGCCCCTCATCTCCTTCCCAAAGGTTTGAAGTACCTGTGACTAATTAATAATGTATTATGAACAAGGGAAGGAGTGTCGTCTAGATGACACGATGCTAGAAATCATCCATGCAATGTAATCAGTGACAAGAGCATTGGTCTCACCTATGAATCGATTGGGCAGCTTAGGCGAAATCCTACCGGCACAAGCCATGGGTATAGGTAGCTCTTATGCAGAATAGCAGAGCCTTTAGCAATATGACCCATCGTTACAGTTGGCCCCCTCCATCCTGTCATTTTGGAACTATAGTTTGCTATGCATAAGTGGCTTAAGGATAAACGTACTAAAAGGGTCTCTTTGCATAATATTACAGGCTCTAGTGACCTTAAAATTGCCCTAGTTGAATGAACGAAATGAGACGCAAATATTCTAGACATCTAGGAATTTAAGTAAAGCTCTAGCTCTTCCAAATGAAATATGCGTTAAGATGGAGTTCCATCACCATTTCCAATTTTCCTTTGATCGTCCACCTTCCACGACGTCTTTCCAACTTGTTTTCAACTCGATAGCAACGCCCTCGAAATTATAAGACAGGTGTATGAGAGGTCCAGCTCAACATGCCAACCACACAATACTCAATAGAAGGCCCTAACATAATCTCCTCCGACCTCTCTCTCATCCACATTCGCCAACTCATAGATCTTCTCAACACGAACCACATCCAAGCCCTTGCCTAAAGGGCTCAGTGCATCGCTCCTAAGAACACATGAAAACACCATATCCCACCCCTGAACGCCTGACGCATAGAATGCTTCGGCGGCCGCACTCTCTCTGCTCCCGAATCTCAGTACCTTGAAGACCTTCTCTGTCGGACTCGGCCCTCGTGCGCTAAAGCCCGGGGCCATGCAGGTGACACATGTGTACACGTCGTCGTCCAGTGGTGCAGCAAACACGCGACTAGCCCATACTCTTGGAATGCTGGCGTTCAGGAGAGACTGCTTTCCCCGTTTGGGCGACGCAGAAGTCTAGGGGGAGATTGGCCGAATGGTAATTACTGTCCGCAGCCGACAGTCTTGATGGTAGTCCCAAGTTGAAACTGTTCAGATCGATACTTCGAACGACGAGTGCAGCGATTGCAAGCCTTGACGGCAGGGATACCAGCACATCAATGCGAAAGTCTTTAGACTCTACAACAGTTTTGGATAGTACATTGCTGAGATATAGATAGTCAAGTAAGAGTTCCAGCTTCATGAAATGACTCTTATGGTATAATGCCAGTAGCAGCCCCCTGAGCCCACCTCGCCTCACCATCACCCTTGCGTAAGGACTTTGAAACTTCAATCACGAGTCAACAACTACCACTTATCCGTATCCCACCACCAGGGTTCGGAAAGCACATCCCGCTGTGCTGGGGTCCTCTCTGGCAGGTCTGGTTCACAGTCCCAAAACTTAAGGACACTATTTTCACTCATCGACCAAACCCTCTCTGATATGTTGCCAACACTGGCGTTATCGACCGGTAGCCCGATATCCACATGGGCCGCGTCACGATTATCAAGTCGCTGCTGATCTGGAGGCAATCCTGTGTGATTGGCCTAGTCAGGATGCTCGGTGAGAGACACCTCTTCCTGACCGCCGATCAAGTGCGTTTGTCCGTAACGTAATGCAGAAGAGTCCGCAGCATCGGAGGTAATTTCGACCACAGCACGTCGTGGCTATAGTCACTGCATATTGAGACCTCGTGAGGCGTGGCGCGTCGATGATCCATGGGACAGTATGCTTCGTATTTAATGTTTTCGTACTCTTGGCGTCCATTAAGAGCTGCAGTGCGGGGCGGGCTCGGGGGTTGGTCAGTCTTGTTGACATCGTAAGGCCTCCGGATCCGTTCTCGCACCAGACGTAGGTAGAGTTTCTTAGTGCGCCCTATCATGCTAATAAGAGAAGAGAAAAAGAGGTTACCTAGGATAAGTCAGAACAAGGAGACTGCCAGTTTGAGCAATACTCGGTAAAGTAACGAGTATGATAGCAGATTTCTATACCTGTGTGGCTATCTGAGTATAGTTTGTTCAGTGATGGATTCGTTCTATGTTTACTGTGGTATCACGCCGAACAGTTGCTAGCGCCAATTTGACTTCCTACCCAGGGGGGGCTGTGACGGAACAACTTGACTTGCATACTTAGTGCATCAATCTACAGGCAAGTAGCCCAACATACGGCTAAACCGTGGCCCTGACCGCAAAAAAAACGTAGAGGCTGCGTGTTTAAGTCCAAAGCATCATCGTCTTGTATTACAAGGATGCTACCTTGTTGTACATAAGATGGTCTACTAAAGAGGCAATCCTATGCGGTTTAATAAAACCAAATATAAGCATCAATTAAGACTAAGCTGCATTCTTTACGCATATTAATTTAAGTCGCCAATGAACGGTAAAGAAAGAGTGTTACGGCAGTCTACGGAGCCAGCGAGGTACCAAAAATAACGTAGCACCTAAGTAATTCTATAAATAAATCAACGCAGCCAAATCAAAAACAGTACAAAAAGGCCAAAACAGTGATTAGTAATGACCGACCTCTTATAAGCGATGTTTTCGGAGGGAAGATCTAGGTTAACTACGGCATGCCATATCCACTTCCTAATGTGCTTCCACCAGTCGCAGTGGACTTTATAGTTAGGGTCGGTGCGTCACACTAGGCTCTCGCTTTACTATATGCGGGGTCTCTAGATAATACATTAAGACTAAATAATTACCATGCCAGCTTAACAATGCAAAACCGGCAGATTCTAAGCGCAGAAGAAGTATTATGACTCTGTATTTTCCATAACTAAATCTAGAATAACAGTACCGCTAATGTTTGTAGGATTCAAATTAGTAAATCCACTGTTAATAGGACCATCATATTCACATGGGTGGCTACCATGACTTTATGTCAGTGTGTGGCTAAATCCGAGGAAGTTAAACCGTATAATCGAGCCGACGGGTACATTAAGAGCTTCTAGAGAGAACTTAAACTACCCACCAGCCCCTATAGCCATAGAGAGAATATTAGGATCGCTGTGAGTACCATTCCACAGGACAAGGCGTCTTACTAACGGGATAGGAGTTTGCATTCCAAACATCTTTAGGCATGGCAAAATTTGTACGCTTATCCGAGTTTTTAAGTAAGATATAAGGGCATCCAATGGTTTTAGAATCTCTAATCTCGGATCCAGATCCACACCCTCCTAACATCTTAAAACACCCTCGATCCGGGAACTATATAGTAAACTTAATATCCGGAAATCGGGATTCCTCAAGAATATATAATGATAAAAGGCGAGCATCCTCTCACGGTCATCGAGGATCTATTGCTTAAACTATCACATATATGTTCTACTGCTCTCTGAGCATTATCAACAATGGCTACTACCGTCTAAGCTGCTCCAACCTCCCTTCCAGTGCAAAAGTCCAAGTCGGCTTTTTGTCAGGCACGTGCCTGCCAGTTGATTATACATGTGTGCAGCAGTCGTATATAAGCAGTGTGCTCCACCCTTGAAGCAGTAGCTTCAAGATTCGGTCCTTTTGGTGTAGTTGGTTGGTGCGTGGAGCCCGCCTCCTTACACTTTTACTTACCCAACTTCATCCACCAACGCTTCACTTGATAAAAACCCTGCGGAGGAGTCGAGCGAAGATGAGCATGACGAAGAACTGGCCAAATCGGAGGATTTTAATCCTGACTCTCTCAAGAAAGAGGAGCGCGAGGAATGGGAAAACGAAATCAAAGAAATGGAGAAAGCCAAGCAGAAAGGTGAAAAACCAAAGAAGGTGAAAGCTGAAAGAGCGGTTGATTGGACCGACGAGTTGCTAGGCCCAAGACCAACAAAGAAACGAACAGATACAAGCAGGTATTACTGCTGCGAAAAAGAGTTGGACAAGTAAAGCGCCTCCAAACAGAAATATTCGTAAGCTACATCATGACGGTTAGTTAGTTAGTTAGTTAGTTAGTTAATTCCTACACGGTTTCAGCCGCGATTACTCCGCAGCTATGCCCGGCAGAGAGGACCTGTCAAACAGCCGACGCGTTCCGGATCATTTGATTGATCCGTCCCGCCCCACGTCGCCCTATCGCGAACGACAAGACCAGCTGTCCCAGCATCCTCCCGTTGCTTCTCCAACTACTATTTACATTGGCCTGTCACGCCTGTGTAACATAGCAGTTCTACTAATTGTACTGCTGATCTAGGCTCCTTAAGGCTCTCGCCTTGTGTTCCCAACCCGTATACCTAGAGTCTCCCCCCAGTGCTCGACTTCGCCTACGCGTCCCTGACCCGGAATTGCCCAAGGGTCTCCGTCCGTTCTATA